TTTTCACAATAAAAAATCTACAATGGCACTGCCAGGGCCCAGCATGCCTCACTCCCCAAGGAAAGACAACTTCCTCTGTGCAGCATGCGCTCACAGACTGATGGGCGACCTGGACAAAAGTGATGTGAAAACATCCCAGAGATGACTGCTCCGGAGCTGGAGCAGGACCAGGACCAAGACCCAGCCAGTCAGCCCTGACACATGGACTACACATTAGGCTTCCCAACACGGAAGAAAGATGGGAAGCTAGGGAGAGGGGGAATGAGAGGGAGGAAGGCCTTCAATTATTCCCTGGGTAAAGGATGACAGAGGCCAATTGACTTCCAAGTAAATTTCAGAGGTATGGAATAGCCAGACCTCTAACCCAACAATGCTCTATTACTTATTTCCACAGCAAATTCATCTCTCCATTCTTGTCTGGATTCTTGTCTCCTCCTCTCCCTGACCCACCCAGTCAGTTCTAAGTCCGGCAAGCTCCACCTCTCCTATCTCTCAAATTCACCCACTGTCTCTACTGGTACAGCTAGAGCCTTTGTCTGGCTCTGGTCCCTTGAATCACTGCCACAATGATCAGATCCAACCGGCTGGTCCTGATCTGAGTAGTACAAATGCCACTTGCTTCCCAGCTTAAAAAGACAAAGCATGGGCTGGGAAGGTGGCTCAGTGGTAGAATGCTTGGCTTGCATGCATGAGGCCCTGGGTTCTATTCCTCAGAACCACATAAGCATAAAAAGCCAGAAGTGGCACTGTAGCTCAAGTGGTAGAGCACTAGCATAGAGCTGAAGAACTGAGGGACAGTGCCCAGGCCCACAGTTCAGGCCCCACGGTTGACCAAAAAAAAAAAGACAAAGCATGTCACATCATGTCTTTAGTATCCTGCTTGCCAACCTGACACTTTAAAAATAAAGTGAAAACTTCTTAGCCTGGCAACATTATCTGCCAGGTGACGGAGTGCTGGTTATCCTTTAGTAGTACACAAGAACCAGCTCATTCCATTTCTATCCCTCCATCCATTTTTATTTTGCTCCCAGTATTGGGGATGGAACCTAGGGACTTGTACATCCTAGGCAAATGCTCTACCATTGAGTTACATCTCCAGTCCTAATTTTAAGACATAAATACTTATAATTTTTCTTGGTCTCTTTCAGACAGGGTCTTGTTATAAAATCTAGGCTAGTCTCAAACTCTACATTCTCCTGTCTCAGACACCAAGGGATAGGATTACAGGTGTGTGCCTCCACATCCAGGAGAAAAATCACAAATATTTTAAAAACTCATTTAATTTTCTTTTTTTTTTTTTTGGGGGGGGGGGTCCAGTCATGGGGCCTGAACTCTGGGCCTGGGCGCTGTCCCTCAGCTCTTCAGCTCAAGGCTAGCGCTCTATCACTTGAGCCACAGGGCCACTTCCGGCTTTTTTTTTTTTTTGTAGGTCGTGGGGCTTGAACTCTGGGCCTGGGCGCTGTCCCTCAGCTCTTCAGCTCAAGGCGAGAGCGCTCTACCACTTGAGCTACAGCACCACTTCTGGTTTTCTGGTGGTTTATTGGAGATAGGAGTCTCATGGACTCTCCTGCCCGGGCTGGCTTTGAACTGCGATCCTCAGATCTCAGCCTCCTGAGTAGCTAGGATTGAAGGCGTGAGCCACCAGCGCCCGGCCCAGCTTTTTTCTTTTTGCTTATGTGGTGCTGAGGAATCGAACCCAGGGCCTCAGGCATGCAAGGCAAGCGCTCTACCACTGAGCCACCTTCCCAGCCCCTCATTTAATTTTCTGCAAATCTGTGTATGTATATTTTGCAGTGCAAGGGATAAAACCCAGGGTGTCACACATGCTAGGCTAGCACTCTTCCATGGGATCACACCCATGGCACCTGACTTCCCTTTTGTACAGGAAAAAAACAGAGCCTGGAAAGAAAGTGACTTGGCCAAGGTCATGAGACCAGTTCAGCGGCAAAGTGAGTTCTGGAACATGGGTATTTTACATTCATCTGCTCGCAACCTGCCACAGCCCACATGCCCTTCGTGACTGGCTCCCACTTACTTTTTCAGCCATCTCTCAACCTGCACATCCATTCTGAGCTCTGTCGACTCATCTGCAGACTATAATGTCATCTTCAGCCTTTGCTCATGGCATGCCCAAGCTCTCGTCACCTGGCACACTCTCCTCATCCATTAGGATCTGGATAAAGCAGCAACTCCTCATGGATGCTTCCAGATAGGTCAAATTCAGTTACATGTATCTGAGCTCCATCTGTTTAGAAAAGTATCCTTATCCTCAAGGACAGGGATATGGGTCTTACCTATATCTGTATTCTCAGCTGGCAGTATAGTATCAGGACTCCAAGATAGACTCAACAAATGTTTATGTGCATTCTCTCTAATGACAAGCTGGCTGGGAACAAAAATGGGACCCTCTAATTGAATAGCAGAGTCCTGCACTCAGTCCTTCAAAGGGTTTCAAAATCACACCAAAGGATATCACATGACAGCTGGCCAAGAAAAATGGAAGAAGACAAGATGTTCCAGAAGGAGAAACAACAGGAGCAGTGAGCAGTAGGTGAGACGAACCTGCCAGCAGTTTAACCAAGTCTGAAGCACAAACCTGGGGGATAATGAGCCTCACAGACATGAGCACAAATGACCCCTCCTCTGAGAATTCATGCCTTCCTAGCTAGCTTTTCAAACAGCTGGCTAAAATAAACACCTTCTCCCTGTATCCCAAGGTCATTCCCCATCCTGCTGTGTGTGCTCCTTCTTGTAACACCTATCAAGACCAGTAACATCTGCCAGTCCTTCTCAAAATGTTCTATTTATTGATCACCACCATCACAATCTAAAAGAAGGCTCCATGAAAAACGGTTCCTTCTTTTTTTTTTGGTCGGTCGTGGGGCGTGAACTCTGGGCCTGGGTGCTGTCCCTCAGCTCTTCAGCTCAAGGCTAGCGCTCTACCACTTGAGCTACAGCGCCACTTCCGGTTTTCTGGTGGTTTATTGGAGATAAGAGTCTCACGGTCTCTCCTGCCCGGGCTGGCTTTGAACCGCGATCCTCAGATCTCAGCCTCCTGAGTAACTAGGATTACAGGCGTGAGCCACCAGCGCCCGGCTTGAAAAATGGTTCCTTCTTATCACTGGTGTCTTATCACTGGCTGATATAGAACAGGCATTTAAATCTTTTATTTAGTCAGTCAACAAAAATTTAATCAGCATATACAGTAAGTCAAACACTCTTGATGTGACAACAAATAAGACAAAACTTCCTGTCACCTGGAGCCTTCTCTCCAATGATGAAATATGATTCCTCTAGGGTAAAAAAGGAGGGAAGAGGAAGTCAAAGAGATTCCAAAGATGTGTAAGGCTCTTAATGGAATCCCAGCTGAGATTATGAATTATAGATTAGTCCCTTTGGCTCCCAAAGACTCTAGGAATCGAAACTGGAAGACCAAGTAGTTTAGCCAGAGGGCAGGGATATTATGGAAACTAGTAGAAAGAAAGCCAAAGAGATGGGGCTGGGAATGTGGCTTAGTGGTAGAGTGCTTGCCTAGCATGCACGAAGCCCTAAGTTCCATTCCTCAGTACCACATACACAGAAAAAGCTGGAAGTGGTGCTGTGGCTCACGAGCCTTGAGCAAAAATAAGCTAAGGGACAGCATCCAGGCCCTGAGTTCAAGCCCCAGGACTGGCACAAAAAAGAAAGCCAGAGAGAGAGAGTCAGTCAGAGACAGAGACAGAGCAAAGGAGACAGAAACACGAAGTGCCCAAATCTGCAACTGCAGTCTGGTTGCAACTACACAGAGTTTATTTTTGCTGTTTAAAAATTACTTGAGGGTGGTAGAGTGCTCGCCTTGAGCTGAAGAGCTGAGGGACAGCACCCAGGCCCAGAGTTCAAGCCCCACGACCGACAAAAAAACAAAAATTACTTGAGGGCTGGGAAGGTGGCTCAGTGGTAGAGCACTTGCCTTGCATGCCAGAGGCCCTGGGTTCGATTCCTCAGCACCACATAAGCAAAAAGAAAAAAACCGTAAGTGGTGCTGTGGCTCAAGTGGTAGAGCGCTAGCCTTGAGCTGAAGAGCTGAGGGACAGCGCCCACGCCGGGAGTTCAGGCCCCATGACCGGACCCCAAAACAAACAAACAAAATTACCTGAGCCCGGGCTCATGGCTCACGTATGTAATCCTAGCTACTCAGGAGGCTGAGATCTGACGATCACAGTTCAAAGCCAGCCTGGACAGGACAGCCTGGACAGGAAAGGCCGTGAGACTCCTATCTCCAATAAACCACTCAGAAAACCGGAAGTGGCACTGTGGCTCAAGTGGTAGAGCGCTCACCTTGCGCTGAAGAGCTGAGGGACAGCGCCCAGGCCCAGAGTTCAAACTCCACGACCTACTCCCCAAAAAATTAGTTGGTATTTTTTAGGAAACATGTATTAGCAGCCAGATTTTTTTCCCCAAAAAACAGCATGTTAGTACTGTGCTTGTAACATTCAATTCAGTAAAAAATAAACCTGACAGCTAAGTATTCTTACTCCTGCGTGAACCTCATCTGGCTGATTCCCAGCGAGGCACTGGTTTCTAACCTTTGGACTAAACCCAGAAGCCGAGGCCCTTCGCCTGGAAAAGGCCTGCGTGGCCTTCCCTAACTCCCCACGGGGCGAGCGACGCGTCGCCACCGCATTCCACAGACGGGACAGCGAGGCAGAGGGTGGAGAGGGGCGTCGCATCACACGCGGGTGACGCCAGGCGGAGAATCGGGTTTCGAACCGCCCGGCCTCCGCGGGCCCGGGACGGGTCTCGAACCCGCCCGCCCGCCGTTCGCGCGGGAGCCAACGCAGGTCCCGGTCAGAAGCCCGCGGACTGCGGCGCAGACTCAGCGACCGCGCTTCGGGGCCGCCGGGAGGCGGGGAGAGCCCCGCGACGCCCTCGCCCTCCGCGTCCAGCTCGTCCCTTCTCCGCCGGCCCCCGAAGCCCACCGCGAGACCCCGCCGTGCCCACACCCGCCGCGGCTGACTTACCGCCACTCAACTTCCGGCAACCCCAGCGCCGGTCGCGACGCGCGTCCTGATGACGTATGACCCGCCCCCTGGAGACCAGCGCGCGCAAGCGCACCGGAGCCAGGATCCCTCCGGGAAATGCGCCCTCTAGCGCCGGATTAAAGAGGAGGAACTTGAGTGGCGGGGAGGGCGGGGTCTGGGGGCGGGGCGGGGGGTGGGGGGTGGGGGGTGGGCGAGACCCCCTCAGATCCGGACATGCGCACACGCTGGTCGGCCTTTTTTCTTTTGAAATGTTTATTGTAAAGGTGGTGCACGGAGGGTTACCGTTGCGCAGAGTACACTTCTTTATGAACAGTGTCACCCCGCCCACTTCCCCCCACTTCCCCCCAGTTCCCTCCCTGCTGAATTAGTTCACCCTTTGTCCCTCCATTTCTGGGCTTCCCCAAATCGGATACTTACAGAAAGTCACTGAAGGGGGAAAACGGGGAAAAAAAGGAAAAGGAAAAAAAAGTAATTTTTTTTTTTTAAAAAGCTCGTTTCCATTTCTTGGAGTTAGTTTCGGGAAGCATCGTTTTATATGGTCACATGCACATAGCTATTGAGCCTTTGTGATCCTCTCCTAAGACTATCCTCCTTTGGTGTCACTGTGTGAACCTGAGTCCTGTTTATCAGGTTCAAGTGTAATTTTTTTGTCATTTACTATCCATTGGGATTACTTGATTTATAGGCAGTTCAGGCCACCCTTCTGCCTCAGCTTCTGGAGTAGCTGGGATTACAGGTGTTAAGAGATTTTTCCTATCCTGGGAAAGAGTAAACAAAGATGAGAAAGAATCCAGATGAAAGGGTGGCTGTATCCAGATACTTGATCCTAGAACATCTCCTTTCCACTAGCTTGTTTTTAGGAAGTCTTCTGTACTGTCTTAGAATAAGTATACCTGATAGAGAGACCTTGAGCCAGGAGGGGAAGGTAACCAAAGTTGATTTTTGGCGGCCTGCATTGATCAGTGGCAAGTAGCTCAGCTCATCTTTTATGAAGCAAAGAACAGGAATTCAGAATGTGTATGTTACACATCTAGCCTTGTGGGGGGTAAACAAAGGCAGGCACCCACAAATCTCATGAGTCTTCTGTAAGTACCATGGGACCAGACATATCTTTGCAGTAAACATGTTTGGAGCACAGACTCCGAGTGCCATCCTACCTATGCTTCTATTCTACTTTGTAAATGACTGTTCATTTACCACACCTAGCTTAGGTAATTTTTGAAATGGGGGGGGTCTGGCTTTTTTCCCCCAGTTGTGAGGCTTGAACTCAGGGCCTAGGTGCTGTCCCTGAGCTTTTTTGTTTTGTTGTCTGTTGTGGGGCTTGAACTCTGGGCTTGGGCGCTGTCCCTGCACTCTTCAGCTCAAGGCGAGCACTTTACCACTTGAGCCACAGCGCCACTTCCGGTTTTCTAGTGGTTTACTGGACATAAGAGTTTCACGGACTTTCCTTCCTAGGCTGGCTTTGAATCCTGATCCTCAAATCTCAGCTTCCTGAGTAGTTAGGATTACAGGCATTGAGCCACAGGTGCCTATTTTGTTGTTGTTGCTTTTGTCAGTCATGGGGCTTAAACTTTGGGCCTGGATGCTCTCCCTCAGCTCTTCAGCTCAAGGCTAGAGTTCTACCACTTGAGCCACAGCGCCACTTCTGGTTTTCTAGTGGTTAATTGGAGATAAGAGTCTCATGGACTTTCCTGCCCAGGTTGGCTTTGAACTATGATACTCTCAGAGCTCAGGCTCCTGAGTAGCTAGGATTACAGGTGTGAGTCACTGGCGCCCGGCAAGTATCCAATATAATATACTTGTTAAACTTAAGATTTCAGCTCCTACAAAATATGTCTGTTACCCATATCTATGCTTTACTGTACTGAGCAGAAATGAGCCCAGGTTGAAGATAGTTCTTTGTAAGTGTGTTTCCCTTGCTGGGTTTTAGCTACTGTAATAAACATTCTGGAGTTTTTGTGTGCAGCTTTCAATGACTAGCGCTTCTGTGGGAACTGTTAGTTCTTGCCATGCTTTTCACCAGTCCCTCCAAAGCTGACCGGAGTTGAAGTGAACTCAGAATGATTCTTTTTTTTGGGGGGGGGGGGGAGGGGGGCCTGGTCATGGGGCCTGAACTCAGCCTGTCCCTCAGCTCTTCAGCTCAAGGCTAGCACTCTACCACTTGAGCCACAGCGCCACTTCCGGCTTTTTTCTTTTTGCTTATGTGGTGCTGAGGAATCGAACCCAGGGCCTCAGGCATGCAAGGCAAGTGCTCTACCACTGAGCCAACTTCCCAGCCCCTCAGAATGATTCTTTACTTCAACCTTTATTTTTTTCTCCCACCAGTGCTGCGGGTTGAACTCAGGGCCTCACATATGCTTGGCTTGTACTCTTCCACTTGAGCCATGCATTCAGCCTAGCTTTTTGCTGGTAATTTTGGAGATGGAATCTCACAGACTTTTCTTTTTGGGCTAGCCTTGAGCCCCAATCCTCCAGATACCAACCTCCTGAGTAGCTAGGACCAAAGGCACGAGGCTCTGGTAACCAGCAAGTTCTGGACCTTGGAACTGTTGTTCCTAGTGGATGAGATCAGGAAGAGCTCACAGAGGGCAGCAGCAGTATTCAAGAGGGAATTTCCTCAAATTCCTACTGAAATCCCTGACTTGGGTCCAGCCAAGGGCACCCAGATTGCTGGATTCTATAAAACACCTCAAAATGTGGTTTGAATTTTGTCCCTTCCCAAAGTGATGTTGCAATGTTACTGCCAGGGCTTAGAGTACCTCAGGTTTAGCCTGTGTTTAGCATACACTACCCTGGGTTCCATTACACACACACACATACACACACACACACACACACACACACAGATGGACATGGCACTGCGGGGAGCTGATTTTCACTCCATCTTCAGAGAAGCATCTTAGGGCATTTCCTATAGATGAAGAGCTCAGGGTAGAATTCTTCTGAAGAGCAGGACACAACTCTGTCTATGCTGACAAACACACACTGTATGAAACAAATAGAGAATGCTGGAAGCATGCACTGACTGACAGGCTATCTTGGGATTGGGTCTCTAATGCTTACTCATTTGTCCCCTCCCCCCCCCCCCCAAAGAATGTGTTTTCAAGAGTGATTTGAAGCTGAGGATGTAATCCACTGGTAGAGTGGTTGTATAGCTTGAGCAAGGCCTGTGCTGCAAAACTTTATACCACAAAATAACAATTAAAAGGATAGCTGTGTGTTTTAAGTATGTGTAATGTATTCATTAATGTTTTGTTTTTGTTGTTTTTTGCCAGTCCTGGGGCTTGAACTCAGGGCCTAAGCACTGTCCCTGAGCCTCTTGAGCTCTCCACTTGAGCCACAGTGCCACTTCCAGCTTTTTCTAAGTAGTTTATTGGAAATAAGTCTCCCAGGGCTGGGAAGGTGGCTCAGTGGTAGAGTGCTTGCCTAGCATGCATGAAACCCTGGGTTCAATTCATCAGTACCATGTACACAGAAAAAGTTGGAAGTGGCGCTGTGGCTCAAGTGGTCCAGTTCTAGCCTTGAACAAAAGCAGCTCAGGGATAGTGCCCAGGCCCTGAGTTCAAGCCCCAGGACTGGCACACCAGCCTAGGCTGGCTTCACCATGATCCTCAGATCTCAGCCTCCTGAATAGCTAGGATTATAGGCGTGAGCCACCAGCACCCAACTGATAGGTTTAATGAAGAATACGCTCGTGAATGTGGTTTTTCTTGAGTGCATTACTTATGCCATCCAGTCTGCTTCCTGTTCCCGGCTTCTCCTTTCCTGTGCTTCAGTTCCCCCCAGGTCCCCCAGGGCCTCCGTCTCAGCCTCTTAGCCTCCATATCACCTTAGTCTCCCCATTGCTCTGTCTCTCCCGCAAATCCTGCCTCTCCCTTTTCTTCCCCAGTGTCCCCCATCTCTTCCCTTTGCCCATGCTCTGTCTCTTCCTCTCCCTCCTTAGTCTTGCTAGATGGCCAGGGAGGCTGGCTTTGCACACAATCCTCCCGTTTCAGTCTCTCAAATGCCATGCTTACAGATATATACCACCACACCCAGGTTCAGTCTTATACTTTCACCCCTTTATTCTTCCTCTCAACTACTCCATCGCTATCTTTCTGTCTGTCTGTTCCTCAGGTCTTCCCTATAGTAACAGTGAGCTAGGGCAAAGACAATTTCTAGAACTTCAAAATTGCAGCAATCAATTTTTAGAACTTCACAATTATAGGAATCAACTTCTAGAACTCACAAATGTGGGAGTCAACTTCTAGAAGTCACAATTGCAGAAGTCAATTTCTAGAACTTCACAATTGTAGGAAACTAGTTGCAAAAGCTTGTTGGCTGCAAATAGTTTCAAAACAATCTGTTCCTGAACTCAGGCAGAGTTTAATTCCAAATAGGGTGTGAGTGTGTGTGTGTGTGTGTGTGTGTGAGTGTGTGTGTGTGTGACTGAGATTTAAACTCAGGACCTTGTGCTTGTTTGGCTTGCTTCCTTGGCTGGCCCTCTACTACAGGAGCCATGCTTGTAGCTCAACTCTTTGCTGATTATTTTAGAGATGGAATCTCATAGACTTTATTTTGCCCAGGCTGGCTTTGAACTATAATTCCCCAGATATCAGTCTCCCAAGTAGCTATCTATGATTGCAGGCTTGAGTCACCAACACCCAGCTAATTCCCAAACTATCATGTTAAAGGCATTGAGAGGTGCAAACATCCTCTCACTATGGTGTTTAGAAGTTAGAGCCTTTGGAAAGTGGCTGGGATTAGCTAAAGCCTTTAGGGTAGTGCTTCCATGATTGAGCATGGATGGTTTACTAGGAGGGAGAGAATAGATAAGGATACACAGACACGCCGGCACATGCTCACACCTGTAATCTTAGCTACTCAGAAGGCTGAGATCTGAGGATTGTGGTTCAAAGCAAGCCTGGGTGGGAACGTCCATGAGACTTTCTCCAATTAATAACCAAAAATCTGGAGGTGGAGTTGTGGCTTAAGTGGTAGAGTGCTAGCCTAGAGCAAAAAGTTCAGGGA